GTGTGTGTGTGTGTGTGTGTGTGTGTGTGTGTGTGTGTGTGTGTGTGTGTGTGTGTGTGTGTGTGTGTGTGTGTGCGTGTGTATTATCCTTGCAAATTATTAAAGGCATAGTTATTCCTCTGAAGAATGGAATGTAATTGGCCAGTTTCATAATATCGATGTTATAACTTCAGCGTAAATCAAGCTGTAAATGTAGTCGTATATATACTATATCTTTTTAACGTAGTATATATTTCTAAATAATTTTTAAACATTTTCGCGCGCGCGCGCGCGAAACATGATTTTTTTTAAACAATATTGAATATTAAATCTCATAGGTACCGTACATGTGAGAACCAATAGGAAATAAATTTAACTAACCTTTAACTATCTGAAATCTAGTTTAGCTGAATCTTATAGATACTCTCTTATATAATTCTGTGTGAATTTATACGGATGTAATTCTTTAAATGCGTACCAAAATGGTTTTTCGGAAATGGTCTTTTTTGAAAAGTCCGCAAATCTCTATTAAATTACCGCACGTTAAATTGACTAGCAATTTAATAATTCGATGCTCTTACGCATCTTACAAAAATCTTAATAATGCTAAATAATATATTAAAATTTGTAAATAATAATTAATTCTTATTACGAAAAATATTATCTCGGCTGAGAATCGAACCCGGATCTTTAGCACATTCCGCGAGCATCTTAAACCTTTAAGATCATCGAGGCAAGAACTACATACAGTATATAAATTCATACAGAATTATAAAAGCACTTAAGAGTTAAATCCAATTAGATCGTTAAAAGCGTTTATTTTTATTAATGATTTTTTAAATTAATGATTTATTTGTGAATCACTTATAATAATTACAAGTAGAAATTAGTTTAAATGAATATACCACTTCTTTGCTTTAAAAATGACACAATTAAAAAAATTAAGTTTTTCAGAAAAGAAGAAAAATTATTGTTCAACTTGACAGAAAAAATTGGTTAATCAAATATTCTCGATAAAAAAAATATAATCTTAATAAATAATCAAATACACACTTTCACAACTCTTAAAAAAGCCTCTCTATTTTTCTTTATTTTTTTTTTATTTTTAGTTGTGATTTCTTTTTTAAATTATCCCTTTTGAGTTGTAATATTTTTTATCAAGTTAAGTTAATTCACTCTTGATAATTGATAGAGTAATGTTTATTTAACTCACTCATAATAATAATTCGAAAATCTGTTTCTTTGATCGAGTTGTTCCACTTTTAAAGTAAAGAAACTATATATTATAAAAATGACGCGTGTACAACATATTTATTAAAGATCATTTTTATGACAACTTGAAATGTTTAAGAAAGTGTTATTATTATTATTATTATTATTATTAAATGTGTTTGAAATCTTAAAAATATTAAAAATAATCATTCTTTTATTCATATTAATAAAATATGTATCTTTTTATATTTTATATGCATCATATCTTTATATACATATACTTATCGTTTATTGAAAGTAAAAACGCACATTCTTGTATAATTTTGACGACATAATTACATCATTTGATTTTTTTTACTATAACATAACAAATGTATCTGTCATGGATATAGAAAACTTTTCGAATTTTTCTTGTTAAAAAATTTCTCTTTCGCTTTTCTTTCTCTCTACACATTTTGAAGATACTCCCAAAGTTGTTCGTGGACCATGGACTTACTTTTCTTATGAAAAAACTATGATTTTTTGACGAAAAAATTGTAAGTTTTCTAGGCAACACATATCAAACAGTGACACATATCTTTGTTATTTTATATAATTAAAAAAGATCAAATTAATTAAATTAAATTAATTAAATAATAATTACAAAAAAAATATATTAGGTAATCCGCTCGTATAAATTTCAAATAATTAAAAGGAGCTTCTATCAGATCATTTCAATAAATGAGCTTTGAAAGATATAAACAGTAAACCTTTATTATTCTTTTATTATCATCATTTCACAGAACGTTTCGACCATACTAAGTAATCCTCATCCTTTTTATTTTTTTTATTGTAGATCAAATTATGTTAGCAAAATAAAAAATTTACGCAAGCATATATGTATATTTTATTTTTAAGAACTTATAAACGATAATGTATCTTTTTTAAATTCCCACACAAATCAATATATAGTTCTGGAACATATTTAGAATGAGACACGTGTCTATAAATCTTGTTATCTACAGTGCTTGATGTTCTTTTGAAATATGGATTTTTCCTTCTGAGATATTCTCTATATAATCATCTCATAATAAATCTGTAAATATTGAATAATTCTTGGCCAAAACTTCTGACAACAAAATTTTTGGGCAAACTTTCTTATTATAATTAAGAGAATACTGCTTACTTGAGCAGTGAGAGAAAAATGTTTATCGAGTTCACTGCGTTAAGCGTGTGTAATTTATTATTTTTTTAAATAACTTAATAATTTCGATTACTGATCGCCTTATCAATTAGATGTAATTAAAAATACTGTTAGGTAATAAAATATTAAAAATAAGAGTAAGATATTGATAATGATATTAATTCGTCTCTGATCAGAAAAAAAAATCTTTTTTTAAAAAATTGTCTATATTAAAAATCTTGAAAGAGAGAGAGAGAGAGAGAGAGAGAGAGAGAGAGAGAGAGAGAGAGAGAGAGAGAGAGAGAGAGAGAGAAAGAGAGAGAGACAGAGAGATGATATATATATATATATATATATTTAAAATACTTTACTAAATATTATCCATTAATTACATCTCGGAAAATCTTTATAAAGAAGCTCTTCATGCCGAAATCGTATCATTTCCTGTGTCGTGAAACCGCAAGAAGCGGCAGCAGTGATCGATATCTACTTACCTCATCTCAAAGTCGTGTATCTCTTGCAGGGTGAGGGTGTTGGCAACATCTAGCAGCTGCCGCATGTTCTCCTCGCGTCGCCTAGCGTCGGCGTCTGGGTGCAGCAGAATCGTCGCCGCGGGCGCGTCCAACGACAAAGACGGTTGTTGTACCACGATCGTCGCCTGAGTTGATCGCTTACTGCCGCCACTTCCGCCTTTCGGATATGAAAAATTTACTATCCGTTATCCTGTTTTCTCGAGCTCGTTGATCTCGCGGGACACGAATCGGCGGAAGAGAGAACCATCTCTCTCACTCCCGCGTCCTCGTTCCCGTGTCTCCTCTCATTCCGCTCTCGCAGAATGCATTTCTGGAATCTTATTTAGACCACTTTTCTTCGTTTTGCCTCCTCTCGGCAAAATTGCCGAGAAGATACGCTTACGCGAGATGTGTCTGTGACGCATTCGCGATTGTCCTGACGGAACCGCCGCGCCGTTACCCGTAAATCGTTTTGATAATGATATTTCGCAACAATCTTTTCGATATGAGGGTAGAATCTTGATAATACTGACATCGATTATGGAAAAAGTTTGAGTGTATTTACCCGTCGAGTGTACAGACTGGGTTAAGGGTCTTTACCTAGAAGAAAAATTTTCCACGGTTTCAGCTCGTAGTGATCAAGAGCGTAAGGGATAATATAACTTTAATAGAACGAAGAAATTACACGTCTTTCACGTTGGTCATTTATTTTCTTATCTTTATCTTAATCTTTATCTCATTCTATAATTCATAACAAAATTCGAAACAGAATTTAATTTGTAATTTTATATATCAAATTATAAATACAATTATAGATGAAAAAAATTTCTTCTATTGCAAGAAATACTACATGTATGTCGAATACGTAGCTTAAGTTGTAATTTATGTCATTTATATTATATGTGAATAAAGTTTGTTTGTCTAGTCGATTGGACACGATTATTTCGCTCTATTCTTCTTTATGTTAAATACCATAGGAATAACGAACTGTGGAGTTCTGATTTCTAATCAAGGAATACTAAGTAGATACAGATAAGTCTATTTACAGTAGACTGTATCTCCACGTGGTGCATCCTGGATAGCATCAAAGTATTTAGTCCGCAATCTTTATATGAAGAATATACCTATGTCATTTTTGCTATATTTAAACAATCCTAGCAATGTTTTCACTTTCTGAACAAACGATTGTTATCTCCTATTCTCTAAAGACCCAAACAATGACTATATTTACATGGCTTGATTTACGGCGAAGTTATAACATCGATGTTATTCACAATCATTTCATTCTTCAGAAGAATAGCTATGATTGACTAATTTCATAATCGATGTTATAACTTCGATGTAAATCGAGTGTAATAAACGTAATAAATGATTTTTTAAGGTCTATTCAGATATATCTTGGAGAAAATTGACATTTTTTTTAATACCCTTCTTTTTAGTCGTAATCGTTTCATATTAAGGTCTCAAGTAAATCAATTAATCATAATTAAAATTGTGATCTCACATTTTAAAATGCTCGACTACAATGTAATTAGTCGATTTGCTTACAGTATAAGATTACACGACTAAAATTTTTTACACGTGATGGTCTTAATAGTATCTAATTTTTGTGAGGAAACCTTCGGAATCGATCGTAAAATTCTCAAAATAAAAAATTATATATAATATAGAAATTACTTTTTTAGATAATACGCAAGCATGGTTAGAATTTCAAAAATGAAATGCAATGTGATTTTTGAAACTTTGAGAAAAAATGAAATTCGAAGAAATTCATTGATAATCACGATCGGTTTATAAATCCATAAATAAAATTTTGTCATTCCTTCTCGAGACAAATAGTATTTGAAATCAACGCTAATAATCGTCTCAACAATCCTTTTACGTAGGCGATAGCTGTTATTCTCTCATGAACTTTTCTCATTCGAGCTTCTTCTCAGTATTTAGTAGTAATTTCTAGCCCAGTCTGTGCGAAAGTCGACGGGTATCTTTAAGACGCGGAAACTCCTTGTTTAAACAAAAGTTCCGCAATCTGCGATCTCTCGAGTCTCGCGCAATTGCAATTACCGAGATTCCATCCGGCACTGTCGACGTGGCGAACGGAATAATAACAGGGATTGTGGATAGCGAGGACGGCGATCCCGCAGATGCGGTGTGTACTAGTGAATATAAACAAACAGGTAAAACGACAAAGCGTGATTCGATAACAAGAGTCTCAAGCGGCATTCCCATGTTTTCTCCTTCGAATTGTTAAACGGCGCGACGTAGCCGAAGCAAACAATCGCGTTGCTCAAATCGATATTAATTAAAATTACAGGCCTATTCTGTAACTCTTAATTTAAATTTCGTTATCTTTTACTAAAAGTAAAAAGCTTGTTATTATTATAACGCAGCGACGTTATAACAATAACAAAACTTGTGTTAAAAATTACGAAATAAGCTTGCTGATATAATTTCGACGAGTTTTTCAGATTTCGATGTTACAATTGTGCAAAAATGAATCTAATTGTAATCGTGAATGATCTTGCGTGCTCGCACAATCCTTGACCGAGATAAAATCAAATAAAATTTTCTTGACTTTTTACTCCCTTTCAAACATGTGTTTGCATTTACATAAATATTTTTTAAGATTAATCTTAATTAAAATTTGAAGAGAGAGAGAGAGAGAGAGAGAGAGAGAGAGAGAGAGAGAGAGAGAGAGAAATTATAATTAAATATGTAATTTCATTACATAATGAAAAATGATTTATAAATATAATATAAATTGTACTACATTTTAACACAGCTACATATAAAAAAAATGCTAAATGATAGTTTTTGCATATACGAAATACATTTTTAATTAAACTCATACTCATGAAAACTAGTCTTATAATTATATTTAATGCGACAAAAATTGTGCGAGTCAAAAATATTGTATGCTTATATGAAATACATTTTTCCATTTTTATCTGCAGCAAAATATTCAGCTCGATGAAATTATATAATTTTAATTCTCAATATCATCAATGATATCATCAATGTGAATTTATATCTAGCTATTTATCTATAACCATAAAATTCACATTTTGTAATACATACAGTACATGAGAAAGCAGAAATGTGGAAGAGATAGAAATTTTTAATAATGAGATGTACCTACAATTTTCCTTAGAAATTTTTATACAAATTTTTTTTTTTATTAAATTAATAAACAATATGATATAATTTCAATTTTCTCACGAGATGCAAACTTCAACATATGAATATAACAAATAGAGAATTTATTTAAAAAATATATGTTTAATTTTACCGATTGATAATATAATAAATAAGAGACTGATAATGTAATCCCATGATGTTCCTATCTCTTCCTTCATGAATCGTTCCCATAAGCATCGATAAAGTTAGTGGAGGTTTAATTGACTCTGTTATTTTTCTAGGTTTATTTTTTTGAAGATATTTTTTTAATCCTCCATGAATTTTAAATACTGTTTATGCGAACGGTTTAGCTTACGACGGCGACAGAAATCACACTAAGCCGATCAGTATATTTTGCACACGCAACGGATTTTCAATCAACAACCAAAACACTGACGATGATATTTCCCTCGGCTACAACACTGATTACCATCACAGACTTCGCGAGACAACGAGCTACGACGATATTAGGATAGACGATACGGCATCAAAATATTTTTAATGATATTTTTCCATCCACTAATGGATAAAAAACATCAATAATTTTACCAGTGATATTTGTTATATCAATATGAAATATGTCTATATCCACTTTCGATATATATATACGTGAGATTGTAACGCATCGATGCCGCGACTTGTGGCCCGTAAGCGACATCCTCCACCATTTTTTTCAGATTACCGATTAGTTTCGGATGCGATCCACTAAAAGGCTACAAATGCTTCGAAGCATATGATTGATCAATTAGAAGAAAAACTTTTACTGATTGATCAATCAAAGACTTTTTTAAAATATTTGTAGAGCATTTATACTAGAGACTCTATATTCAAAGTCTGGCCATGAAAAAAAAAAGCTGTACATGATTGGTCGCGTTCAGCAGACTCAATTGTTACGGGACGGATCCCTGAGCGCTCGCTGGTATTGGCTGATCGAAAAGAACACATTAATAGCAACGAGCGCTCAGGGATCCGCACCATAATAATTGAGTTTGCTGAACGCAAACATATACAATTAATATGCAACAATCATATACAGCTAATATGCTGTGTTTAACTGTGCCGTCGTTTAATATCATTTCACGAATATACCAAATTTTTATACTTTATTACTATTTATTTTTCTAGGAAGTGATACACTGATAAGAGGTTCTAAGAGGATATACACACATTCACATTCGAATATATTCAGATATGAATGTTTCCATTATTTTACTCTGGCGAAATAAAAAAGATAAGTAACGTTATAGCTACAAGTCTACACTGTATATTATTGTGTTATACATATAATGTACATATATGATTGTTCCATTGCTGAAAAGCACCCTAAACTTGAGTAATATTTTCTATAATACAGTATACATGCAATACAGTAAATAGCCGTCTATAATATAGCAAATAGTTATCTATGTAGTAAATATAGCTATTATAAAAAAGTTTTCAATTATTTTTTTATTTATTTCATTTTATTCTGTTTTTAATTCTGCAATATATTTTTATAGCTTTATTAAAAGATCTTTATTTTTTTTTTAACGTTATTATCGTTTTTTTTTTGTGTTGTAATATCATATTTGGGCGGCAACTGGTATTGCATATCGATTGATATAAGTATCAATGCGGCAATGCTATATCCATTCCTTGTCGACATCTCAAAAAGACAGTCTCGTCAGAATGACTTTAGTCAAATCAAAAAAGTAATATCTATTCTCGCGCGTGCTGTTTCTTTACTCACAAGATCGTTATCATCGTCGTCCTCGCAACTCGTTGCCGTTGCCATTGCTGAGATTCACGCGACAGAGGCGCAAGCATTGATTGACACGCAAAGAGAGAGGGAAAAAGAGAGCGAGAGAGAGAGAGAGAGAGAGAGAGAGAGAGAGAGAGAGACGCAGTGAAAACAAGAGATGGAGAACAAAAGAAACAAGCCCAAGCGCATTCGCATAGTCACATTTGTGTTACTGTGTTGTATCCATACATCATTAAAAAGGGCGGCCGCCGAAACTTTATCAGATCATATTTTCCATTTGTTCTCACTCATTCACACACACGTCGTTATCGTCTACATCGTTTATGTTTACGTCGTCGTCGTTGTTTACGTTTAACGTCGTCTTGGTCGTCGTCGTCGCATAAGTTTCATGCGCTTTCAACGATCGCCCTGATATGGATACGATGCCTACATAATTCTATTCGCCGGACTATGTAATACCTATTGCGCAAAACGGGAAAAAGAGCCTGACCCATGAATGAATGGCTGAAACGAGTGGATGAGATTCTGAAAAAAAAGAATATCAATTGATTTCCTTACAGATACCGTCCATTTTTCTCATTTCTTTTCTTTTCTTCTGCTTCACACATACACGTGTTAAGGACAATAAAAAGAAGTAGGAAACAGAGAATAAGAATTTCAACCTATCAGAAACTATATTCCACAATATATGATTTCTGATAGGTTGAAATTCTTATTCTCTATTCCCTGTCCCCTATTCCTTTCATTGTGCGCAGCTCCTTACATACGCAATATCCGCATACATATATTATATTGAAAACACATGGAATCGATTCATGGCGATATCAATTAGTGCTAAAATCTGATTAGATATATTTTATTGTTTGCATTTGTGCGATTATCGTTAAAATTGATACGCAGGATAAAAATAAAGCAATTTATGTTTTCAGATAAAGAAAGCACTATAATAAAATATATATTCTAGTGATACCATTAGTCATTGTGCCATTTTATAATAATTTAATTAATTTTGACAATTTTAAATTACTTTCAGTGAAAATATTCCGTGTTTGACTAGATTTTTCCATGGTCTCTCTGTATTGCAATCAATTATTATAAGAGTTATAGAGTGTATAGCTGCCACACAATCTAGAGACAGTGAGTCCCTAAGTGGAATTAACTTAAACTCGACTGCAGAATGGATCGATAGTCTTGGTTAACTGTTTAAGCGATTGGCAGCCCCAGTTAAGTAACATACGCATCGAGAGAGTAAAATCAAGAGTTGCTCGCGATCGATGCTAACCGAGGTTACCGGTTTTCTGTCTCTTAATTTAATGATAACCGCGAACGAATGATCGATCAATTGGATCCAAACTCATCAAATAACTGATATGAATATGAATTCGGCTACGAGATCAAAATGAGAGAAAGGGGGGAGAGGGAAGAGGTAGACTGAGAGAAGGGGAGAAATATATTTCTCGCACCTAGAAATTCGTGAAAGCGAAGTCGGTGGGGCCAATATAACAGAAATTCTTTTTTCTTTCTTTTATCGCCGATAAAAGTTGCGATGTGGTCTGTCGTCCCCGTCGTAATTACAATGAATCTTGATGTCGCCTTTAAGGGCAATTAAACTACTTGAGAATGTAGTACTGTACTGGGGGATTTCTATATTTCGCAAAAATACAAGAAAAAACTCTCAAGAGACTCACCAGCTGATCGTCCTCGTGATTTCGTACTCGCATTACTTTGAACATTACAGCCCTGAGTATTGCATGGCTGGGTCGCACTTATAAGCGATATATCGAGCGGATTGGTCGTCACATTGATATTGGGCCTCTTCTGGCTGCGCTTGTGTTCGATCGTGCCCTTTTCTGCTGCGTTCATCTGAACCGAGTTGATTTTTCCACCGGCCGCATAATCGCTTTGATATCCCACTCTGGTGTTGTGTTTCTCCTGGGCAGCCACCAGATTTCGAATCGAAGATCGCGTGTCGACCGAATCGGGCTGGCCCGCGTCCACCGAGCCTCTCACGGGGGTGCTGAATGCAAACACGTTGCGATTACGTAGGTGGATTGCAGCGATTGATGAATTCATCGAATCGAAGATATTCCTTAACTCTTATTCGAACTTGGAATAAAATTCAGTCCAGGAGGTCAAATTTCTTGTAGCTATTTCTAATAACTTGTAGCTATTACAGCAATATAAATTTTGTATTCCGAAAGGAAAAGATGATAGAAGTAAAACAGTTACATTAATTCCCTTGAAAAATCTCAATCTTTATTCAAAGCAGAGATGGAGATCTTTAATCTCCAATTAATTAATTGAATTAATTATTGCTCGAGATAGCGATAAAATCGAAAAAAGGAAAATATAACTATAGACATATATATATATATAAACTATAGACATAATTCTGTAGTATCTACTAATATATTTTTCGTTCTCTTTCCTAAATCTTTCTAAAATTTATCTTTAGAAAAGACAGGGGAGCGAACGTTTCATACAGTACTCTTTAGACATCTCAATACTTCTGATTTTATTTTCTAAATTTCAAGTAAATTTTATTACACTGTAACATTGGTTCGACAATTTTCTCATTCAAATCGGCTATGAAATGAAATGAATTTCTTAAATAAAATCTATCATCTATAGTATAAAATTTATTTTCTACAGTACTGTTATTTGCTGTTGCCCTCGTCTAATCGCGTTTCACTGAGATCTTTATTCAGTTCGTTCCGAAAAGTCAGTTAAATTTACCTAAAGAAATCCGCGGCTCTGAGATCTGGAAGAGGCGGGGTTCTGCCGCTGCCGCCGAAGGTAAATCTGGTTTCATGGTGCGTGGGAACTATCGACGTGAGTGATGGAAGAGTCACCGTACCCTCGCTATTACTCGCGTTGTGACCCTGATTGATAGAGGTACCGGTGGCCGTCTTATTGTTACCATCCTGTTGACCTGAATCGAGTTTCATGCGCATGCAACGATTCGAGGGCCCGGCGATTTCGGTCCCATCGAAAGCGCAAAGCGGGGTCATGGGCGATGATGGAAGCGGTAATGGCGGTGTGGTTTGATTCGCCGCGATCGGCGCCGCGACAGAGATCGGTGACGTGGGCGACGTCGGCGATGAATTATTGTTGCCCCCGAGCGTATCATCGGAATGTCCCCGATGACCAACAGGAGGGATGGATGATTGCGACGGAGCAGTAGTGGGAGGCGACATTTCGGCCGGCACGTCGATCAGATCGAAGCTGTCGTCCGGCTGCTCCCCGTCTGTCGTCGTTACCTAAAAAATGGAAAGAAATCGTGCAATCAACGAATGCTGAATTATTTGTGAATGCTTGATATATTTTATAATCGATAAGAATTATTTCGCGTATACCATTATTTTTTTTTCAAATGGCACACAATATCGCTCGCAGTCAATCGCGAGAATTTTATTCATGTATTTATTATATGTCAGCATATATTTATATATAAGGTATCCTGCAATTTTTGACAAAGCATTCTTGTGTAGATGAAGCGGATTAAACTGTGTCGAAAAGTCCTCTACCATTTTACAGTTTTTGTTTAACCTTTTTTTTAGTCATCCAATAAGTATAATGTTTAAAATCAATAAATTTATAACTTCAGGATATTTAAGAGTTTTTTAAGAAATATTTTTGAGATATATTTCATAAAGAACTTGGAAAGACATCTTAACGTTGTAATATACATTGATTTTACCTAAAGCTTATTTGGCAATTTTTAGAAATTAATATTTCGTTAATTGTTGCGACCATTATAAAATGATGGAGGACTTTTCGATTCATTTTTTCATAAACAGTACATACATATCGGCTCCTTCAGCTGGTCTGGATTACCATGCATACATATACATCGATTATTTTTTTAAGAAAATGTTAAAAATATCAATTATACCGCTTCGCGTGCAATAAGATTTTTTTCGCGTGAAACTGAAGATTTTTTTCCTTATTTATTAGGCATCTATCATTTCAGAAATTGATAGATGTGTCCGAGTTTGCATAAAGTAATGAATGAATCTTCAAAGTGATTGGTAATCTAAAAGGATGATATCTCAAATTTCCTCGGAGATATTTGCTCATTACTTCCAAACGCATTAATCACTTCTTTCGATTGCGTTTTATAAGGAAAAACGTCTGATTTTCATAATAATGTTCATTTAATTTCGGGCGTGTTTATTAATTCATTTAAATTTAATTTTAAATACCATGCCTTCGAGCGGAAAAATATGACAGGGCTCGCACGCTGGTTTTCATACTTAACTTATAATACGGTCTGAAATACTAAACACGCAAAGGTGTCTATTAAATCCCAACGCAATGCAAAAAAAAACACTTTTGTACTTTTTTCAGTATGGATTCCATTAAATATGGAAACGTTTCGTTGATCGGCGCATAATTTACTAACTTTCTTCGACTGATTGATGTAACATCACATAGGGCACTTTATCAATTAACATACCTAATTACCATTTAATATCGCATAATAATATTTAATGCTTACGAGACTCATAACTGAGGCTTGTGTTTGACTTTACATTGCTTTGTAAAAGTATAATATACATATAATGTAGTTTACTGTTAATATTAATATTAATATAATGATTAACATTGCTTTATACAGGTATATTCAAGCCTTATGAAATTGCATAATAACAGTATAATATATAATAAAGGCTTAATTCAAATCTCGATTTTGCGGCGATAGACACAAATTTAACTTTAATCTCGGACTTTAATTTTGATTCAAATTTCAATTTTAATTTAAATTTTTAATTATATAAATAATAACGATGATATTGGCATAATATCAGCAACATGCTCTTGTATACAAATCATGAGCATTCTGCAGTACCTATTTATGTTGATGTTATATGTACCACCCACGTCCGGTCAAATTTGCATCGTGTCACGTGCCGCCAACGCTGTTTGATAAAAGGCGTACCTATATATAATATATTTACTATTATCCTACCTACCATGGTGAGCATAGTGTTGGCGCTATCTGTGCTCGTGTTGATCGTGGTCTCGGACGCCGTGCTGGAACCCATGACCACGACTTTTGGCACTGTGC